GGTGCCAGGTGGGGAAAATGGACCAATCGCAGGCCCGCGCTTGGTCGGAGCGGGGCTCTGATTGGTGGAGAGAATGCTAGTGGCGTGGGAGGGGTGGGGGAAACCATAGGTAGGGAAGAGAGACGGAGGGAAAGGCAGCCCCTTTCAGAAATCAGACCGAGAGAACAGAGAAATCAGAGGAAGAAAGGAACGACAGAAAAATAGAGCCAGATCCTGGGAGCTTCTCTCTGTGCCGCCGCGGTTCGCCATTTATGCCCGCCTGCCGTGTTAGCTGTAACCCCCCGCTCTTGCGTTGGAACAGTCCAACCACAGGTCGGCGGAGGCCAGCCTTCTCCTCTCCTTGCCTTCCACTATTGGTCCAAGCAGCTGTCGCTCGCTCCTCACAGGGCCAATCAGCTCGCGCAAGCCGCCCGAGGAGGAGCGCCACGCGCAGTCCCTCAGCGCAGGTACCCTGTGGTACCCCTAATAGCTTAAAGTTTGTACCGATTACTGTTGAACAGAAAAGACTCCGTTTATCCTTGATATGGCGCAGCCTTTGCAGTTCAGTAGGGCTCCGCGTCCGAGATAGAGAGATGGTCATTTAGGCTGGATGCGTAGGAAGGTAATTTAATTTAGACTGGATGCCTACCTGATACTTTATTGCTTTATTTCTCCACAAGATGGAAGCCAAGGCCTATGTCTAACCCAGAGCCTCCTGTACGGCTTTTACTGGAGAACTGCACGCGCACTGCTGTATTGTGCATAGAAGTTTATGAAGAAAATCGCCTATTTCCCTCGCATTCTAGTACTCCTTTTTTATCTTGTAACCATACTGTTTTTCCAACCCTGCCATCCTAGGCCACTGCCGGTCAAATGGAAGGCTCCATACAAGACCCCGTCAAGTGTTTTGGGTTTGTCTTTGACGCAAGCAAGTCTGTCATTTCCCTTGCCTTGACAAATCACTGTCTCCCATTCTACCATTACCTCTTACAAGTTAATACAAGTAACAATTATTATTGACTCTCTGATGATACTGGAATAGCTGCGTGCCACTTAAGGCTTTCTCTGTATTTATTTACAGCTTTTAATGCGAGTATAAGATGATGAGATACATCTCTCTATTAATATATATTTCTGTGTCAGTTGCCTGTGATGATTTGATTTCTTATTTGAAATAAACTCTGCAGGATTTCTGCACCCAATACTAGGTTTCTCCATGTATGCAATATAGGGCAGCGTAGAATTCATAACTACGCTGTCTTTTCCAGTTGTTCAGACTGTGCTGCCATGTAGCTACTTGCTGGCTTGTGCTGTAAAAAACAATTCTGCTCATCCTAGCTTGAGAGGCCTGGAATGTAGTTGCATTCTTCTTAAAAAAAAAAAAAAAAAATTACATCTGACTTGATTGGAACACAATGAAACACAATTACATATTGGGTAGAAAAGGGAAAGGTCTTTTTTGCTTGGGGGGGGGGGTAGGTGAAGTAAAACGAATTGAAATTCCATTTCTGCTGAATCCAATTTTTTTTATCATTGAGTTGCTGGGCTGAAAAATTATTATTTGCACTGAGGTACTCCCATTATACCTGCACAGCTCAAAATCATCGCTCCCTGCTCTGGAAGTTTTTATTTCTATTTGCTATTACACAAGTTGACGTAAAACCTGCTTCTGCTACAATTAAAAACACTGCACAGCAAATTTATTGGCCAACTAATCCTTCTTTTCACTTTGTTTTAAATCTACATAGTGATTCCAAATTGCTGGGCTCAAAGATCATCATCCTGTAAAAAAAAAAAGATCAATGTAGTTTGATATATTTTAAAAGCATTAAAAAGATACCTTCTCTATACATGCACACGATTGCTTAATACGCTAGTCATGCAGCTCACACAAACTCTCTGGCCACACCCGGTGACTACATTTCTCTTTATTTTGCACTTTCTGGGGTTTAGATACAATAACCACATTCCACAAATCACACTTTCAGTACTAGATCACACACACCCAAAATATGTCACAGTAAAGATTTCTGAAAGCAACATACAAACAAACGAAGGGAACGAGCCTTTAGCACAATGAGCTCAAACTACATAGCTGCATTTTTCTCCAGAATATTGTGCTTTTGTCTTAGAACTATTACACATTGAGACAGCACGAAATTACAAAGGCATTTGCTAGTGTCATGATCCAGCAAATTACAGTGCAGTGGGCAGATACTCAACTCCAGTTTCTGACATCAGAAAGTCTCCTCGGTCAGAGGAGTTCATAGGCCTAAGGTAAAGCCCCAAAACTTTTCAGAAATTTCACCTTAATACAGCAAACTCTCTGTATCCACCTAATTTACACTTAGAGACACAATTTGCGATCACTGTTTGGAGCTGGCATGTGCAAACAAGTGTGTGATCATAAAGGCATACAGTGTATGTAATTTCACAGATTTGCAAAAGCAGTTCCTCCATATGTTTCAGAGAAATACAAGCTCTGCGTGTGGCTAATGCACACAGAGTTCTACACACAGATGTAGAACTTTTGTAATTTTAGAGATGTTGGAAGTATAAGAATATTGTAGATGTTAAATATTAAAAATTGTTCCTCCCCTCAAAGAACGATGCAACAAAACGTCCGCAGAATAACTCTAACAGGACATCTTCGCCATTTTTCATTTGCAGTTATGTCTTAAATTATACTCTGTGGTTGAATCTGAAACCAGAAAAACTATCCCCCCAACACACACCCCCCCATCTAGCACAAAATTTAAAAAAAAAAAAAAAAATCAACAACAAAATGCAGAAAGAAAATCGAATAATCTTGGCACTAGTAGTCACCAACACTCACATTTTGGCTCCTGATATTTTTATCTTTCTGAGACAGTGTTGTTCCAAGTCTTAGCACGTCAGATTTTGCCTCCAACCAAGCATGCAGCAACCAATTCCTCCTCTCCTTTGTCCCGCAGCAAATCCACCCTCAAGCAGTCCATCAGAGTAGATCCAAACCTGGAGAGGTAAAACTACAGGACATAGAGGAAAAGCTGCGGGACAGTTCTCTCTTGTGCTTCCAGAAAGAAACAATTAGGGACAGCAAGATGCCCAACACAGCAACACCCCCAGCGCCCTGCAAGCCCTTACTGGTGACTGTGGGGAAGGCTGCAGGCAAGGGCAGCCCCTGGAAGGGCTCTTGCTCCTTCACCCAGCACCCGCCAAGAGCACAGAGAAATGAGGGTACGGCTACAAGGCCACCTCCTCCTCCTCCTCCTCCCCTGCCTGGCAGCTTTCACTTCTCCATGCGCTCTTCCTCCCTTTAGAGGCTTGCAACAAAATCCACCCCCTCTGGAGGACCTCAGACTGTCAGACAGAAATGCACTGCTTTCTGCTCCATCATACAGAAAAAAACGAGGTCCGTGTCTAGAGGATGGCAACAATGACTCAAAATATCTGGGGACTGTTCTTTTTTTTTTTAATTTAAAAAAAAAAAAAAAGCATATTCTTGCTTTATAGAAGATACTTTTTTTTCCCCCCACATACCGGGTCCCTTCTAATTGGTTTTGTGTTTCCTGCTGTTCTTGACAAAAACCCCTCTTTCTGCAGTAGAAGAATTTAGAATTAAAAATGCAACATTCTCGTGGAAATAACATTTGCAACACTATACAATTATTTTTCTTCAGGGTAACTCACATTAACACTAGGTGCACTTACAATATTTATTCAGATTTTTGTTTTTTAAATTATTGGATGAGGAAATACATAATATTATCACTCCAGCACATTAAACAAACATACCCATTGCCTACAACAGAGACTTCTGCCTTTGGACTACATGATAATGCACCACCACAAATGAAAAGATAAAATTTAGTCAGGAAAGGAGAAGGACATTTCTCAGCGAGAAAGGTCACTAGCACGAGCAGTTCTGCTGCGAAGGGGGTGGGTTGTCTGTGAGTCGCATGCTCCTTCCAGAAGCACCCCTGGAAGGGTCTGATTCTATACTTTCCGACATCTTTTCACAGATTATATCCACGAGACGCTCAAACACCTGCCTTACGTTGATGTTTTCTTTGGCACTAGCTTCAAAATAGTCAAAACCTGTGAGGAAAAAGTAGAAAAAAAAAATAACCAATAGATACTGATGATAATGGAGATGGTTTTTAAAATACTAACCATTTTTTCAGAATTCACCTTAAGAAAACAAGACACTAGACAATTCTTAAGATGAGTTGATTCCCATGATCTCAGAATACTGAGCAGAAATACTTCTAAAATTCATCAAGCATCAAGAAGAGTCAAAGGGACAAATGGATCCTGGTAAACACCTCTGCAGATGATACAGAACTGAATAAACCCAGGACAAGGGACTTGAATTCGCCCCTTAGATCAGTGAAGATGCCCTGGGCTGCAGCTGCTGATGACGTGCCACCAGGTCCCCCCTGGGCTGCCAGCTCACTCTGCGGACCACTACTGCAGCCTGGCAAGAGCAGAGAAGCAAGATTGTGGTTGTACTCCTTCTGCTGACCAACTTCTGCGCTTGTGAGCAAAACGCTCCATGACTTTGGTCTTGTTTTTTCCCCATTCTTCATCTGTTTAGATGGAAAGCTCTTCAGGGTGATTAATGCTCACACAGCACACATCAGCGACAGAGCGCCTGTCCTGACACGCGACATTCAGCACTGCTGAATTACAAATAACATTGTGTGCCTCCTGCAGAGTAATTTCAGCATCCAGTCACCAGCTCCTAGCTGCAGCGATCAGTACGGATCCTCAAACACTGACCCTTTCTCATTAAAGAAACCACACGCCAAGGTGGGGACGGCACAGACAGCTATTCTTGCTCCCGTTGACACCCCATGCTAGAAGGAAGCAGCCTTCGCACAGACGGGCCTGAACTCTGCCTCAGCCAGCAGAAAGGCACTGAACTGTGAAGCATTTCTTTATCTTTCTAACCCCAGGGGCCTCAAAGGCCAACCATCCCTTACAATGGCTGTTGCGTCTGTTCTACCAGGTTTATTATATGGCCAACAGCAAGAGCTCAAGCACCACAGAGCGTTTTTTTTGCAATAAGCTGCATTCTGTTGGGCTTCATTTTGGGGGCATTCTGCATTGCATCGGTTTTCTTTGAGTCTGCCACAAACAAAGGGAAAGACAAGTCATCTTAACTGATTAGTCTGCCATTGCTGGTAGACTGAGTCACCTTGACGTGTGAGATAAGGAAGTATCTACCTCATTATAAGACTTTTTAAAAAATCATGGGACAACAGGTGAAGCAATGGTGGAGATGTTTGCCTTGGTACTAAATAAGAACAGCTGTCCTGCATCAGATGAGGGTTCTGTCTGCCCCACTTGCTGTCTTTGATGATGATTAAAATTGTGTATATAAAATGCACAAGAAATCAGAGAACTGAACTAAGGTATTGTCAGTCTGACATTGGTTTAGCTTCTGCTGTGGCTGAATCTGTTTTAGTTTAGCTCACATTCAGGCCAATAACAATTTCTTCATCTGAATAGGAAACGATTTCAATGATGTTAATGTCACTATACAAACTTAGATAAACACACTAAAGGACAACCTTTACGTGAGTCATTATGATGAAAGCTAGCAGTTTAAGCTATTTTAAAAGTCAATTAAAAAGATTCCTCCCACCTAATACACAAAGTCATTTCAGATAATGCTATACACGTTGGCACAGTTAATATAAGGAAAAACTGACTGATAAGATACATTTTTCAGCCCTTTTAAAAAAAGCATTTAGTATTTTGGGAGGCTACAGAAGAGGAGGACTGGGACAGAGCTTTCCAAAGGCATAGTTAGCTTTTGTTTTGCTCTGCACTGGAGTATGTTTCTCCAGGGTGAGCTGGACAAGTGCAAGGACAGGTTGGGAGTAGAACTGGGGATTCTTCAGCAGAACAGTTTCCTTCTGATGGAGTCAGTTGCTATGGTAACTCTGTGCGCGTGTGTGTTTTGAAGTGTCCCATACATAAAGGATTCAGATTCTAGATGCCAAGTCTGTCTTTAAACAAACACATGTATTTTGGGGGAGAAAAAACATTAGAAGTCCAAACAAGAGTGGGAGTTCCAGTAAAACCCTCTATTTGCTGTTACATTGTTCTGGACAAATTTTCAATTACTAACAGTGTAATTACTCTTGCAAAATATGTGGGCATACATGCATTCACAATGGTTTTGAGAGTCTGAAAGCCAGGAGCCCAGTTTATTCACATTCATAGTTTCAAAAGCAAATTAAGTTCTGACATGTAAAAAAAAGCCCGTAAGTGTTCTTGCAAACTAACCATGTCTTTGTTTGCTTTGCTAGTCCTACATGTAAAGAATTATTATTACAATAATAATAAAGATGGGAAATTAGAGGATTTAGTTTGATATTTGCTCATTATTTGTTTATGATGGCAGTGCCTCAAGGGTCCAGTCATGAACGGGACCCCTTTGTGTTTAGCATACATCGATTTTACACTTGAAGGCTCTAAACCTGATGGCCTTTACAGACGTGCTTTTTTATTATTATTCATATGAAACAAAAAAAAATAATCTGATTGCTCTTAACTCTTTGGAACAGTGACCATCTTTTTGTTTATATCACACAGGTCCCTATCACAAAGCCATGCTTTATACTTATCGATAAGCAGGGTTTCTGTACCTTCCCTTCATTAAAAAAGCCAAACAAAAATAACAATAACAACCCCCCCAACTAATAAATACTCATTATCTAAGATTTAACCATAATTCGCAATTTGATCAAGGCCAAACATTAAACTACAACAATGTATGCAATGTGTATTGAAACTCCAGTACCCCAAGTTTAACAATATATTATGCACCCTCCAATTACTGCTTAAGAATTGAACACAACATTGAATTTTATAAATTGGGGGTGATGGTGATTCTTTTGGGTATAGTAAGAATCTCTACTCTTACAAGCTAAAGAAATATTTACAGTATGCCCACTGTAAGGGTCTCCACTGTTAACTGAATTAAACTTTAACAGGATTTACTTGCCACTATGAATTATTTAAGAGAAGACAACAGTATAGCTAAATCTTAACACAGAAGTCCTGACTCCGTATTAAAAAGATCATATATGCTATAATATATAAAGAAAAATGATAAATAAATAAGAAATTAGGATGATCTTATTTTGCTGTTCATTCTAAAGTTTTCCTTGCAATCCCAGCTTCCTCTCAATGGAATTGTTTTGCTTTGTCTATCCCACATCAATAACATAATGTCATTTCCTTATCTGGACAGAGAAGCCTGGTACATTTTTAAAATATATTTTACTCAACTCTACAGTTCAGTTGTATAAACTTCTTTTTTCATTGTTTAGTTGCAGAAAAAAAAATAATTCTTCTACAAAAATCAATGTTTGCATTCTGAAAATGACTATGTGGTACTTGGTGACCTGGAGACAGAACAGCGTTCATGAAAATTTTTTCTTTTCATTCTGCTGAGCTAATAGAAACTGTTCTCTCCAGACAAACTTTATCTCCCATACATCCTTAGATATTAGCTTTACAGACACAGCAACACTACAAAAAGGCAGAATTCAGCACTAAGCAAGTAAAACACGGACCTAGAATATATTATGCTTCTTAGTTGTGATACCATTATCAAAGTATTACTACTGGAAGGACTTTTTATCTTACAAATTAAAAGGAGCGCAGTATAAAGAAGCAGAGGAAAAAGAATAGAAAGAAAAGCTTTGACATGTACCTAGCTGATCTGCCAGAAGTTTCCCCTTCTCCACAGGAACAATTCTTTCATCCTCCATGTCACATTTGTTTCCGACCAGGATCACTTGCGCATTGTCCCAGGAGTAGGTCTTGATTTGTGTGGCCCTACAGCAGGTCACAAAAGATTGTTACATTCCATCAGCTGTGCCAAAATACAATCATATATTAAGTATGAAAACAAGTACCAGTAATGACAACATCAACATCTCAAGACGGTAT